GTGAGATCTCAGTGGCAGGTCCCCTGCCCTCCCTCTTTCTCCTCTGGCTTTGCTGTTGACCCCCATCCTCCCACTCCTCTGTTCCCTTTCTGGCCTGGGCAGCTGTGGACCTGAGGCTTCGCCCAGTGCGGGGTGGGCCTGGACCTCGATCCCCTTCCACCACATCCAGCTTTGCGTGCTTCTGGGAGGCATCTGTGACTGCCAACCCTCCCCAGCTCCCGCCCCGACTGTAGCGCCCTCCCCTTCCCTCTCCATGGCCTTTTGGCCGCTTGAATCTGTCTGCGTCTTCCTTTCCTCCCTAGCAGAGGCTCTGGGCCCTCAGCCCACAGAGCATGTGGATCTCCGGAGTGGACAGCCTCCCCCTCTTCCTGGCCTCTCTTACTCTTAAAGTGGCCTGAGGGAGAAGCCCAGCCAGGTGGCCATGCGAGACCTTTAAAGGGACAGAGAGAGGCAGCTCAGGGGAGAGTGGGGTGGCTAAGGGGGCAGGTCTTGGGCTCTGGACTGTCCCTGTCTCCACCCCGCTTGCCCCCAGTGGGCCCTCCAGGTGTTTGCAGAGACTCTAGGTGCTGGCTGGCCACGTGGGGTGTTCTCACAGCCAGGGGTCCCGCAGCTCCTCCTTCTCTGCTGCTGCCCTGCTCCACTGCTGACTAGGAGGCAGGCTGAGGACATGGTGGGAGCCTGGACTGAATAGCGCTTCCCCTGGCCTGGACATGGTGCCAGCGTCTTCTGTGTTTTCATTCATTGAGTCCCCACAACTCCCCTGTGAAGCAGAACCTGTCATCACCGGACTCCAGGAAGCCCAGCCTCATGGGGGCGTGACCTGCCTGAGGTCCCCCACCTGGTAGGCAGGGGTGTGGCCTCTGCTCCATCCTGGGGCCACACTGGCTTTTCAGGGACAGACAAGTCTGAGCTGGGCTCCCTGTTTGCAGTACTGTGCCTGGGAGGTGGAAAGGGGCCCGCGGGAAGGGCACAGGTGGGCAGGGGGAGGCTGGGGCTCAGCTGTGTCTCAGCGA